GAAGGGTCTAGACCTGAGACGTCAGCTTTCCTGCTCCTCTGATGCTGCTTGGCCTGCTGTGTTCATCCAGCTGTACACCTTGTTATCTCAGCTTCTCCACCATCGGCAGTTCCTACTATTTCTCTACTACTGTACTAGGGACCCGGGTTTGAATCCCGCCGTGGCAGATGATGGAATTAAGAGTCTAATGATGACTGTGAATCCATTGCGGATAGGTGGAAAAACCTATCTGGTTCACTAATGTCCTGCAGGGAAGGAAACTGCCATCTTTACCTGGTTGGGGCTACATGTGACTCCAGACCCACAGCAATGTGGTTGACTCTCAACTGCCCTCTGGGCAATTAGGGATGGGCAATAAATGCTGCCTAGCCAGTGATGCCCTCGTGAATGAATAAAGAATAAAGCCACATCTTGCTGCATTTGGCCATAGGCTGCTGGTATCTGGTGGCTTTCCATGAATGCAAATATAACAGAAACATGTTGCAAATAATTTAAAATGTGTAAAGTGGTATGTTGCATTATATGGAGGGTTACGTATTTTTTTAAAAAGTGGGATGTATGTTTGAAATATAATTCGACAAGAAAGCATTAGGAAAGAACTTGTCAGCCTGTTAAACAAACTCAGATTACAGATTAATGTGTGTTCTAAGTGTGTACAAAAGTCACTTTTGGACTACTGCTACTTGTGTATCCATTCAACATAGTCAAAGAAGCATGTGTTGGAGGGGATATATGATGCAAAGAGGTTGCAAAGGTTGGTATGAGGTCGTGGAATGGTTTAAAGATGGTGACAGATATTTGAAATGAAATATAGTGGTGGACAATATAGACCTATTTGGAAAGAGAAGCACAGAACCTATTGTGGTACATTGTAGTCAGCTGAATTGGAGTCTGTAATGGGTGGTACATGAGAGGTCTTTGGAGAAATGAAGTCCAGGATTGACATAAAAATGAATAAAGCTTTCAGCAGTGGAAGGACTGAGTTAATGCAGATGCTGGCAATGATACTGAAGAACCTAGAGATTATGTCTGCAGGAAGTGTGTTTGGATGCAAATCCTTTCGGTTTGCATGGAGCGTCAGTAAGAGGCAGTGAGGAATTTACAGGATCCAGGCATGGTGTGATGGATGGCAGTTTCAGAAACGTAGAAAAACTGCAGATGCAGTCAGATAGATGGGTTATGTCTCGGAGAGGTAGGCAGGTAGTGCAGGAGTCTCCTGTGGCTATCCCCATCTCAAACAAGTATGCTGTTTTGGATAATGTCGGGGGTGATGGCATCTCAGGGCAATGTAGCATTGACAGCCAGGTTTCTGGAGCTGAGACTGGCTCCGCTGTAATTTGGGATACATCAGGTTCCAAGCAATTAATTGTGATAGGGGACTCTCTTGTCGAGGGCACAGGCAGACATTTCTGTGGCCGACAGCAAGGCATCAGGATAGTGTGTTGCCTCCCTGGGGCCAGGCTCAAGGATGTCTTGGTGAGGGTGCAGAATATTCTCAAAGGGGAGATGGGCAGCAGAAGGTCATTGTATATGTTGGTACAAATGACATAGGAAGTGAAAGGGACAAGGTTCTGCAGAGAGAATATGGACAATTAGACAGGAGGTTAAAAAGTAGCTCCTTGAGGATAGTAGTATCTGGATTACTCCCAGTGCCATGCGCTAGTGAGAATAGAAATAGGAGGATAGGGCACATGAAAGCGTGGCTGAGGAACTAGTGCAGGGGACAGGGATTCACATCTTTGGATATTTCAGATCTCTTCTGGGGTAGAAGTTGGGTGTGTGGGACACAAAGAGAGAAGTCTGAGGTTGGCACTATAGAGAAGAGGAGCAAATTAAATAGTTGAGGCAGGCAAGAGCAAGGCAGAGAATAAGGTTAGACTGATGAATTAAACTGCATTTATTTCGATGCAAGAGGCCTGACTGCTAAGGCAGATAAACTCAGGGCATGTTTGGAAACATGGGACTAGGATATCATAGCTATTACAGTGATTATAGAATCCCTACAGTGTGGAAACAGGCCCTTCAGCCCAACAAGTCCACATCAACCCTCAGAGCATCCCACCCAGACCCATTCCCCCTATATTCCACCTAATCTACACATCCCTGAACACTATGGGCAATTTAGCATGACTAATCCACCTACCTTCACATCGATGGACTGTGGGAAGAAACCGGAGCACCTGGAGGAAACCCATGCAGACATGGGGAGAATGTGCAAACTCCACACAGACAGATGCCCGAAGGTGTAATTGAACCTGGGTCCCTGGCGCCGTGAGGCAGCAGTGCTAACCACTGAGCCACCGTGCTGCTGTGACTTAGGGAGGGGCAGGATAGCAGCTTAATGTTGCAGGGTATAACTGTTACAGCATGGATAGAAAGGGGGGCAAGAGAGGAAGGGGAATGGCATTTTTGGTTGAGGATAACATTAGAGCTGTACTTAGGATATTTCTGGGAGAACATCCAGTGAAGTTAGATGGGTGAAACTGAGAAATAGGAAAGAGATGATCATCTTATTGGGATTGTACTGTAGGCCCCCAATAGTCAGCAGAAAAATATATATGGAGATCTTAAATATTTGTAAAAATAATAAAGTTGTCATGGTCGGGGATTTTAACCTTCCAAACATAGATGGGACTGCCATAGTGTTAGGGGTTGGATGGAGAGAAATTTGTGAAGGGTGTACAAGAAAATGTTCTTATTCAGTATGGTAATGTACCCACTGGGAAGGAGCAAAACTTGATCTTCTCTTGGAAAATAAGGCAGGGCAAGTGACTGAGGTGTCAGTATGGGAGCACTTTGGGCCAGCAGATCATAATTATACTGGTTTTAAAGTAGTGATGGAAAAGGATAGACCTGATCTAAAAGTTAAAGTTCTAAATTGGAGGAAGGCCATTTTTTCTGATGGTTTTGGGCAAGAACATTCAAAAATTGATTGGGGGCAGATATTTGCAGGTAAAGGGATGGTTGGAAAGTGGGAGGCCTTTAAAAATGAGATAATGAGAGTTTAGAGACAGTATGCCCCTGTTAGTGTGAAGGGCAAGGCAGGTAGGTGGAGGAAATGCTGAATGACTAATGAAATTGAGGCTTTGGCAAGAAAAAGAAGGGGGTATATGTAAGGTATAGACAGCTGAGATCAAATGAATCCCTAGCAGAGTATAAGGGCAGTAGGAATATGCTTAAGAGGGAAATCAGAAAGGCAAAAAGGGGACATGAGATGCCTTTGGCAAATAGAGTTAGGGAGAATCCCAAGAGATTCTACAAATACATTAAGGGCAAAAGAGTAACTAGGGAGAGAACAGGGACCCTTAAAGATCAACAAGGCCGTCTATGTTTGAACCACAGGAGATGGCCGAGATACTAAATGAGTATTTCACGTCAGTATTTATTTGGAGAGGGATATGGAAGCTGGAGAACTTGGGGAAGTAAATAGTGATATCTTGAAAAGTGTCCATATTGCAGAGGAGATGGTGCTGGGTGTCTTAAAATGCATAAAGGTGGATAAATCTCTGGGACCTGATTAGGTGTATCCCAGGACTGTGTGGAAGCGAGGGAAGAAATTACTGGGTCCCCTATTGAGATGTTTGTATCATTGATAGTCACAGTGAGGTGTCAGCAGTCAGGAGAGTGGCTAATGTGGTACCATTATTTAAGAAAGGTGGTAATGAAAAGCCAGGGAGCTGTAGACTGGTGAGCCTGATGTCTTTGGTGGGTAAGTTGTTGGAGGGGATTATGAGGGACAGGATTGACGTGCATTTGGAAAAACAAGGACTGATTAGGGAGTGTCAACATGGCTTTACGTGTGGAAATTTGTGTCTCCGTAACTTGACTGAGATTTTTGAAGAAGTGACATTAATGAAGGCAGAGTGGTAGACTTTGTCTATATTGACTTCAGTAAGGCGTTTGACAAGGTTCCGCATGGTAGACTGGTTAGCAAGGTTTGAACGTGTGGAATCGTGGGGGAGCTAGCAAATTGGAGTTACACAGTTAGTAGTAGGGCCCTGGGGAGTATTGTTGAACAGAGAGACCTAGGTATCCAGGTGCATAGTTCCTTGAAAGTGGAGTCATAGTTAGACAGGATGGTGAAGAAAACATTTGGCACCCTTGCCTTCACTGGAGTGTCCTTTGAGTATAGGATTGGAATGTTGTGTTGTGGCTATCTGGGATATTGGTTAGGCCACTTTTAGAATACTGCATTCAATTCTGGTTTCCCTACTATAGCAATGATGCTGTTAAACTTGAAAGGGTTCAGAAAAGATTTACAAGGATGTTGCCAGGAGGGTTTGAGCTAGAGGGAGAGGCTGAGTAGGCTAGGGGATTTTTCCCTGGAACATGGGAGGCTGAGGAGTGACCTTTATAGGGGTTTCTAAAATCATGAGGGGCATGGATAGGATGAATAGCCAAGATCATTTTCCTGGGGATGGAAGTCCAAAACTAGAGGGCATAGGTTTAATGTGAGAGGGGAAAGATTTAAAAGGGACCTGAGGGGCAATCTTTTCACACAGAGGGTGGTGCATGTATGGAAGGAAGTCAAATGAAGTGGTACAGTTACAATATTCAAAAGGTGTCTGGATAGGTACGTGGATTGGAAGAATTTAGAGGGATATGGGCCAAATGCTGGCAAATGGGACTAGGTCAGTTGAAGATATCTGGTTGGCATGGACGAGTTGGACTGGAGGGTCTGTTTCCATACTGTAAAACTCTAATGCTTTGAGAAGCTGTCTTTGCGTTTACTGTTAGAAACGAGGTTGTGAAGAGCGGAGAGGTTTAACGGGGCATTTTGTTTTGAGAAATGGATCTTTCCTCACAATTGATCTTGGAATGATGAGAAGTTTTAACAAAGAAGAGCAACAGCTGGTGGTGTTCAATGTTGCAGAATCAACTTTGGATGTAGATCACTGGATAGGTTGTAAAACCCCATGGAGTAATTTTAGTCCTAGTGGGGAAATAAGGAATTCATAAGACTGCGAAACCTGAAATTAGCACTGTATTTATTTGAAAGTGCAACTGTACAGAAACTTGAGCAAAATGAAGTATTGTGAATATGAATGGCATGAAATGAGACAGAACTAGCTGTACAATGAAATGTTGCACAGGAAAGTGATCAAATTCGGTGAGCTGGGAAACTTCCTTTGAAATCTGTGACATCAGCACATTCTCAATAACTGGAAGGGCTTGTGAGCGAAACAATATCTCATCACAGTATTCCCAGTGATGCAGTAGTCCGTTGTTTATTGTTATAAGGAAGTAGTTTCCACTGTGTTTCTGTGAACACTGAAAAAAATAAACATTGAAAATTGAAAGCATTTTCTTCTGGCTTAATGTTGACCAAACCCAAGCCCTTCCCAACATCACTTGTCTCACTTGCATGAACCTTCCTGTGTGCTTCTTCTAGCTGAAATGGATTATGTGGAAACTTGACCATTAACAGATTGATCCCTCTGTTCTCATCCTCATCTACAACATTCCCTTTGATTATATTTTCTGCCTAGTAACATTACATAGCTCAGTTTCTGACCACCTCCTGTCACCAAAACCTGAGCCCATTATTTCATTGCCTCAAAATCCAACTTCTAACACATTCAAAGTTGGACTTGTTCTCACTGTTACAACACCTTCTGCCTTCATCCGTTGACAAGCTGTCCATGCTCCTTTGACCTGCATTTAGAATTCTCATTCTCACCTTCAAATCCTGATCTTGGTGATGTTCTCCTGCTTTACATCTCTGTGAACACACCTTTTCGATCAGTATTTGCTGTTTTATGCTCTTGTTATAAAGTTGTTTGTAATGTCTTCCTACATATTAGGTGATCTGTATAAATATTGTTTGTATTGTTCTTCTGCCATTAGATAAGTATATAAATTCTTTATAATGATACTTTCATGGTTCTCTGAACTGACAGCTAACTGAAGAACATTAGAGTAAATCTATAGGGAAGTAGCACAAGGGGCCATTCAGCTCACAGTATGCCATCTCTTTGCGAGAGCAATCTTGAACAAAAAACAGCCAAAGAACTGTAGATGTGGAAATCAGAAACAAAAGCAGAAATTGCTGGAAAAACTCAGCAGGTGTGGCAGCTTTGCCTCCACAAATGCCCCAAGACCTGCTCAGTTTTTTCAGCAATATCTGCAATCTTGAACTAATCCTTGTTTTTTTCACATAGATTTGCGTTTTCCACTACTTCAGTAAGATGATCTAGTCACTGCCTGAACCACTCACTACATATAACGTAGACTGCAGATAAACATTCATAACTCAGAGGAATTAACAACAGCAGTTGGAAGCATGCATTTTCCATTAACAGCATGATATTACTGTGGTAAGTCTTTGCTTTTTTGGACGGTGGGCTGTCTGAAATCCCTATTCAGCCAGAGCTCTGTTTACCAGTACTTCACATTTCTTTCCTGATAGCCTGCCCATTGAGAGGGATTCCATATGAAAAGCAAAGAAATGTTGGAGTTTTACAACATCCTGTTGTTGGTTTGGTATAGTGCATCTGTTAGCAGGACTTTAAACAAGGAACATGGGACATTAACAAAAGACTAGCAAGGACTATCCCCAAGAAGGCAGTAGGAGCAGCTGGCCAATATGTGCCCAGACAAAACCCTGCAGAGCCGTAATAATGCCAAGATCACAGGAAAACCAGCAAGGGGCATGTTGGTTACACAAATACTCCCATAAAGTAATCTACCACCAGGGAGCCCCACATTTGTTAATTATCTGCCAAGTCTGAAACATTCTTTCTGGTTAGAAAAGATCAGTGAATCTGCCTTGGTTGTAATTAACCTAAGTTGACCCCAACCGACAGAATGCAAGCCATATTCCATCCCTGATTCCCAAACCAGAAGTGCTACAAGAGTAAGGTTACAACAAATCTTATCTTGTTCTTTCTGATGGCAGATGGAAGAAGGTATTTGGCATTTTTTGACTTGTTTATATGGAAAACCCACTGATTTCATAAAAGGCTGGTAGCTCTGTGATTCCAGTCTCAAAATCCCAACTACTAGATGTTTTTAGTTTTTAAGGGTGTAAACTGTATGTCCTAAATAATAATTTTAATGGAAGCCCAGATGGACAGGAATAAAGGAGTTGAGTAAATTTAAGGCAAACGCTGTCCATCTAGAATGAGAAGGCTGTATGCGTAAACCAAAATAAACACATTCCTAAACGAATGAATATTTAATAGTTTGACATAGATGCACAACAGTGATTTCCTTTCTTAGTCATGATCTCAGGTGGCACTGTCAAATATGTCCTATCTCTGACTAACTTAGAATGTTTTAAAACTTACATTGACCAATTAAACCTGTTTGAAAGTACGTGAGATTTTTCAGCTTTGGTAAAGATACTAGATGGGAAAAAATATTTTGATAAAATACTTCCTTTCAGGGAGTACATTGGACAGGCAATGATTTCTCTTTGGACATTCGTCATTATCCATTGTGAGCATGGATTACTGAATATAGCCACATCACAGCTGACTCAGATTCTGTACTTGACTGTGTATTATTTTACAGTATAATCTAACATTAATTCATATGTAATGGATATCCATGGTTTCATCATATTTGTGATAACATTTTTTAAAACGGATCCATGTAAAGAATAGTTGCATACTCGTTAGAGTTCACCCTCTCTTAGCGAATGACTATATATTGTGCCTCTGAATTCCTTGCATACCTCTAACTGAAAGCTATCAGGCTGCCTAAAAGAATTTCTGAAGAAGGGTCCAGTCCCAAAACGTCAGCTTTCCTGCTCCTCTGATGCTGCTTGGCCTGCTGTGTTCGTCCAGCTCTACACCTTGTTATCTCTACCTAAAAGAATGAACAGATTGAAAACAAATCTAAGAACCAGTAAGCTTGTGCAGTCAGGAGTGTATTGTGTAGATTTCTTGTTCCACCTCTAATTGTGTACTGTTTAAACTATGTGGAAAAAGAAGTGAGAGAAGACCATATAATCTATTCGAATCTCTCAACCATAAGGTGGTGCAATCTCCTATACAGTTGGTTCTGCTTTAATGCGTGTTCCAGCAACACACATTTGCTATAACGCAACTGACGAATAGAGGAATGCTATTTCTAAAACGCAAACTTGTGTTGGCTATAATGTGATTTCATCGGTGTGCGGAGGAGTACGCATCAACATCACATGATTGTTTTGCAGGATTTGTCCCGAATACACTCAGTATTATCTTTAAAAGGTTACCTTAAGTCTACTCTAGATGTCTGCTTTAGGTCAAGCAAAAGAGGTTGGATAACAGGGCAAATTTTTTCTGACTTTATTACTGACGTTTTGAATGTGTTTTTAGAAAGTATTGCAGAAAAAAATTGGATTTCGAGATTCTCCTCCTCCTGGATAATGCGCCAAGCCATCCTCCCACCACTGGTGAGCTTTTTGAAAACATTAAAGTGTTATTTCTATCCCCAAACACAAGCCCTCTCCTTCAACCCATGGATCAGGGTGCAATAGCAGCTTTTAAAGCTTATTATTTGAGGGGCACATTTAAGAAGCTGATTGCAGCCACTGAGGGGGATAAGGAAAGTGTTCTTCAATTTTGGAAGAACTTTAACATCAAGAATGCAATTGACATTGTGGAGGCCTGGGGTGATGTCAGTACGGACTTGCATGTAGTTTGACAGAAGCTTCTTCCAGATCTTTTTTCAAAATTTTAAAGGCTTTCGTCCATCAGAAGAGCTCCCAAGAATCAAAGAACATTGTGTTGATCTTGCAAAGCAAGGTGGATTTGAAGAACTGGAGAGTGAGAATGTTGAAGAGCTGCTTGAATCCAACTGTGAAGATCTCTCTACAGCCGATCTAAAACAACTTGTCGCTGAGGGGGAAGAAGAAGATGAAGTCCAGGATGCAACACCACGAGAGCTTTCCATTTCTGTTTTGTCTTCTATCCTGAGGGAAATTGAGAAGCAGTTGCAGCTCTGAGAGGACAACGATTACAATGCAGAACGCAGTAAAGTAACAGTTCATGGAATAAGACCCTATGAATAGCTTCTTCAAGAAAGAAGAAAAAAGGCAAAGCAGCATAAACTGGATGTCTTTTTTTTTAAGCAAACCCCCAAGAAACAGTCTGAAAACAACGAACTACAGCCATCCACTTCTGGATTAACTATTTTTCACTCTAACTCTACGACCATAACTGCACCTGAAGGTGGTGATGATGCTGACCCTCAGCCCCTGCATTAACAACAGAGCAACCTCAAAATCTCCCTCATCAAGTTATCTTGACATTTTTTTCAAGGTAAGGTGTTAAATTTACTTTATTCATATCTAATAATGAAATAAAACATTTATTCACACTGTGCTATACTTTGTGTTAGGCTTTTGAATGATTTTTGAGTGACTTTTTTTGGTGGTCTGCCCCGACCCTACTTTTCCCATTGGCCCCATTATTTCTGTAGCGCAATTTTCTAGAAAGCAATGTTGCACACGAATGCAACAATTGCGTCATAGCAGAACCGACTGTATTATCCTAAGTAATGCTAACAGCAGAGAGACAGGTAAGCGCCCTGTGACTGGTTAATGGCAAAATCTGAGTCTAGGAGAAATGATCCAAAAATTGATTGAGTTAGCTCAAAGAAACAGTAACACATTGCACATAACTGAATTTTTATCTTCCTCCTCTCAGACACCAAATGTTCTAATTTCTTTAAGAACATTGTCATTACCAGTATGCTTAGTCACTATACACCACTTCTGATACCATTTACCTGGAAACTAATCCAGCATCCAGTTAGAATTTACACCATTATCCACTGAACCACCTTCATTGAAGGATCTACGTATTTACCTCCCTCCACAAAAGCAAATCATGTCTTAACTGTATATTCTGAATTTCTAATCTAGAACTTTCAACCAATATCCCAGTGTTTTCCTAACTTTTCCCCACTGTGACTGAAATTTGAGGCTTGGGTATTGTAGTGACCCTTCAGTGAGCACAGTGAAGAAGGTGGAAGGGTTGATGCTGTTAGTGTAGGGGATCTGTCTATTTGAGTTGGAGTGTTATAATTCGGTCAGAGCTCCACAATATACCCTCAAAACTCCACCTCACTATCCCTATTGGGGGAAGCCCTGCAATATTCCCTGGTGCTTAACAAAAAACATGATCCTTGGAGCCAATTTTTTTGCCCACTTGAAGATCTTGCATGTTTGAAGTCCTCTTATAAGATGCATTTTTTTTTTTACCAGACATGAACATTTTTTAATATCCTTCATATTACTTCATAGCTCAGGTGCCCACTCCCAATTATCAGTTGAGACT